CATCTTCCTTCTCTCCTTCATCACATCATTTTACTACGGGACGCTCACCTGGTACAACGTCTTCCTGGTTTACAATGAGGAACGCAGCTTTCTGCACAAGATCACAGTGTGTCCCTTGCTCATTCTGCTATATCCCGTGCTGATTATGACGCTGTGTGTCTGTATGGGGGTGTACGCCGCTGTGACCCAGCTGTCCTGGGTTTTTGGAGAATGGTGGTTGGCGGTGAGGGACCTGGAGAAGGGCTTCTGTGGGTGGATGTGTGGTAAGCTGGGGCTGGAGGACTGTGCCCCGTATAATGTAGTTGAGCTGCTGGACTCTGACACTCTGTCCGGGACCCTCCAGGGGAAGAGGATGGAAGATGTTGAGCACACTTCTACTTTGTGAACTTGATGGATGGAATAACTTTTGGATTTAAGGAATGTTTTTGGTTAATACAAGTTAAGTTCTGTCAATGGCATCTCTGGCATGCTGAAGAAGATCATTTTGACTTGGACAGGATATGTCTTCAGACTTTTCAGTCAACTTGAAGTTTTAAGATTTTTCTTTTCAACATAAAAATGAGTCAAAAAGATTTTTGACAGCATTTAACTTGTTTTCAAGCTTGAGCATACATAACAAAGGGTTAGTTCACCCAAAAATGAAAATTCTGTCATTAATTACTCCCCCTCATGTCGTTCCAAACCCGTAAGACCTTCGTTCATCTTCGGAACACAAATTAAGATATTTTTTCAGGGTTGCTTAAGTTCAGTAGACAGCGCGCGCATGCTGAATGTAAACAGCGCTGATTACGTTCTGGGGTACTCTCCAAAATGGCGGAAGACGGTAACTCAGGGAGAAGAATTGTTGAATAAATTGTTATTATTGTTTTCCTTGTCCGCAAAAAGTATTCTCGTAGCTTCGTAAAATTATGGTTGAACCACTGATGTCACATGGACTATTTTACTGATCTCCTTATACGTTTCCGGGTCTGGGAACATTGCAGCTGCATTGCTGTCTACGAAGGGCCAGAGAGCTCTCAAATTTTATTGAAAATATCTTAATTTGTGTTTATTGTCTACAGCAGATGGTAAGCGTGGGGTGTGACTTGAGACAGTGCCAGGTCCTAAAATGCGATGTGTTGCAATGTAATGCAAAACAAAGTAGCATATATAATAGACGATTGTGATTTTTTTTCTCTCCTTCTAGAAGGAGACATCTTAAAAGGGTGATTGACTCCAAGCAGGTGTGTCCGGCTGTAAACAGACATCATATAGGAATCTCGCAGGGTTTATAGTCATGAGAGAAGGGGCATCTGGAGACCTCACTGGTTTGGAGCTGGAGGGAGTGATCGAGACAGAGGAGACCCCAGTGAACATGCTTGAGAGGTCAGCTGAGGAGGAGGGAACCACCACCAGGAGGAAGAAGAAAAAGAAAAAGAAAGAGATCATCTACCGCTCTGACCTGGAGGTTGAGGATGCTGGGGAGGGAACCTCGGCGGATGTGGATGGAGCCTTTAGTCCTCCACTTGATGAAGGTGAAAATATGATATCTGGGGGTGAACTCATTGTGTTGTGATGTTTGTTCATGTACAGTGATATTCATCTTTTGTTTGCTTACTGTAATGATGGCACGGCTGTGCTTTCTATCCAGAACACACCAGATTGAGACCATGAGTAATTGTCCTCTCATATTAAATATGACATGATATTATCTTGTATGTTTTATACTTGTTGATCATTTTATGTCAGTTATCTAGATATTGTTTTACAGTCTTCTGGGTGATAGATTTTTCTTCCAGAAAATCTTGCAACATCAGGGAATAATATATTTGTAAATTTCTAGTCCTAGTAAAGGTGTCTTGAAAATTAGAAACATTAGTACATTTTAATGTACTATTTATGTATTAGTAATTATTTATTGTATTTTATTTTATTGAAAGAAAGTACAGCTTTTATCAGCAAGGGTATAATACATTTCAAATTTTACATTTAAGTGTTTTTCGGAAGATGAACGAAGGTCTTACGGGTTTGGAACGACATGAGGGTGAGTAATTTGACAGAATTTTCATTTTTGGATGAACTAACCTTTTAAGGGATAACTCACTGAAAGATAACAATTCTGCTATGATTTACTCACCCTTCTGTTCCAAACATTTTGAAGAATGTTTGATATGAACAAAAAAAAACGTACATTCTACCGAAGAAAGTACGTTTTGGAACGACATGAGTGTGAATAAGTTATGACAAAATGTATATTTTTGGGTGAGCTTCTCCTTTTATTTTGCACAGTTTTATTGATTTGTACACATTGCTAGGGAATCATCCATGAATTAGCCTAGTCTGAAACACTTTGCGTTTTGGCTATTTATTGTAAAATTTTACAAAAACTGAAATATAGGGCCAAGTTACTCAGAGAATTCAGCACATTATCTTTCCATATCACATTTAAAATAGGAAATAATGGATTTTAATCTATGCTATACAAATGAATGACCAAAACAATAATGTTGTTGATGCAGTTACTCATGATGATATCCAAAAGCTAATTTTTAGTTTTAGAACATAAGTAATTCACTAAAGAGGTTTTCTGATATAAGTTTATTAAAAATAAAAACTGTAAATGTGATTAGAACTGCAGCCTTAATCTGAATCACTATGGTCAGCCTGCAGTAATGATTTATATTCAGAGCACTCAAATTCAATTTGGTCGGAAGTTTCATACTTCCAGATTTTATCCAAAGACTATAAAGCTATGGCAGATATGCTCCTTACTTGCTTAGACTACATTTTTTCCAGATATATATTGTTGGACTTAAACGGTAATCTTAGTCTGTCAGCTCTGATAGGGTGATTAAAGGCAACTTTATACTTCAAAGCATCCGATTCCTCTATGCAGAAGAGTAGCATCAAATTATTAAATGTTTTTATGTACAGCAGTGACCATAAATAATCTGAGACTGAAACTCATTAGATAAACATGCTTAAGAAATGAGAAGGAAATGCCTTTCATCTTTAGAGAGTTTATCATGTACTCTGTGTAATCAGAAGTATGCTACATATTTACCTTTGGCCTGCTTTACACGCATTACACACTCTTTGATGATACTTGATAAGCAGATAATCTTTCCTCTCTTAGTTTGACCGATACTTTCAATTGAATCAACCACTAAGAAACAGCAACATTTTACACTTTGTATACTTTTCTTTTTTATATTCTGTTCATATCCAAGTATGGATATGTCCCAAATCACTGAATTGTTGTGTTAGTGTTTGAAACAGTGGGGTGCTTTGTATTTCCACAGGTGTAACAACAATGGTGCTATAATAGTGTTCAACAAGGATGTCAGCCATTAAAAACCACAGACTGTTTTACACACATTAAGGATAATGGCTCAGTTGTCCCAGAAGATCATCTTACACTTCAAAAACCTTTTATGAGGAAATTCACAGATTATTGGACGATACATCTATTTCAGATGGGGTGGTGTCTGGTTCTCATATTGCACATCAAAAACTCAAAATCCAAGAGAGTTCAGCTCTGAGATATGAAGTATAGCACTCATCTCATCCTCATATACCATCATCATTTTATTTGTTGTTTATCTAGGCATACTGTTGTAACATTACTAAATACAGGCTTCCAATGGTAACTGAAATATTAAAATTGTGTTTTCCCAAAGACTATTGAGTTATAGAGTCCTGGCCAGGAAAATCAGGATTTTTTTTTTCCTTGCCTGGAAAAATCACAAGAATTAATTTTTCTATTCATCAAAGAATCCTGAAAAAAGTATCACAGTTTCCACACAAATATTAAGCAGCCCAACCGTTTTACTCAACACATTGATAATAAATGTTTCTTAAGCACCAAATCAATATATTAGAATGATTTCTGAAGGATCATAAAAAATTCTGCTTTGCCATCACATTAATAAATATAAAAGTTATTTTAAATTATAATAATATTTCACAATAGTACTGTTTTATTGTATTTTTGATCAAATTAATGGTGAGCATAATAGACATGTTTCAAAAATGTAAAAAAATTGTACCAATCCCAAACTTTTGAATAATAGCCCTTCATTGATAAAATATATACATATATATATGAGTTATAGAGTCCTGGCCAGGAAAATCAGGATTTTTTTTTTCCTTGCCTGGAAAAATCATAAGAATTAATTAAAAAAAAACTTCTGTAGTGAATAGGCTATACACATTTCTAGCTATGAAGATTTCCTTCACTAAAAAATTCTCCTAATTTGTGAGAATCATACGTTTGAGTCACAAAAAAAATTGTTTTATTAAAAAATTGGGTCTGAATTAAAGTTTATATAAACATGTCTCACAAAAAGTGTGGGAACCCTGTAAATGACCAGATATCTTAGCAGAGATCTATGCATTTGATCTGAATCATTTGGAATATGTTCACAAATATGTAAAGACAAAAAAGGTTCTACTATTATAATTTATGCAGTTATTAAAAGCTCAAATTGTATTGCATCTGCAAATGAGCAGCTTTTATGTAAACCGCCTTTTCAAATTAGTCATTGTAATTATTGTTTCAGTCTGTTGCACAAGAGATTATTGCTTTTTGCTTATCTTTTGGGACTTTTCCAGCACTCATCTCTCTGCTCATATGACAAGACCTTGACCTGTTTTTCCCCCTGCAGTTAGGCCAGCCTTACAACTGTTACACAAACAACACTTGAATGACATGAAATATTGTCTCCTGTTTATCTGTAAACATGGTTTCTAAGCACAAACTGTTTTTACAGCATGAACTGTCATGTTTTGTTTTCACAAGTCTGCACTTGGTGTTTTGTTTTTTCAACCGTTTATAATAAAGAATATTTCGTTTGTTCTATCAATGATATAGTTTTTCCAGTAAAAAAAAAAGTTAGACCTTTCAGACTTTCAATGCAGCTCCCCACAAACTAAAAGGTGTGCCATATAGCTATATAATTACCGAACCTTTTTTAAAAACGTTATCATCGCGGCTTGTCAACAAGCAGTCCCTCCCTTGTCCCTCCTTAATTCAACCGGTCTGTAACAGAATCGCCACTAATTAAGTGTAAGGGAAAGTCAATAGTCTTTAGAATGAGTAAGCGCGAGTGATTATCTGACCCTACCCTAGAGAATCCCCCTTCTACCCTAGAGAATCCCCCTTTGAGGCGTGGTTTGTTTGTGACTTGGTCAAGTTACTTTCGTTTTTGTTTTTTGCGTTTTGACGTCCGTCGGAGAGATGAAGCCACACAACGTCAACGGTAATACTTTATATCATGCATTCTGTTAGTTGTAATTGAATATGTAATCATTTTGTAATAGTTTAACTGTAATGTTTGTTTATAATAGCTTTTCATACCATTTCCGTAAAATACGTAGTACACGTAGGTCATTCAGCCAGTCAGTCAAAGGTAATTTGATCTAGTTTTAAAATCAGAATAGGCTATGTATATTTGACGCATCACATCAGTTCATTTTTCGTTACGAAGTGGCGTAGTTTGTGCTTTTTGAATAGGCTATATCTATCTTATTTTATCGGTGGTTACAGATTGTTGGCATTTAACTATGCGCACGTCACTAACGCTAAATGGACACGTATGTCGTTTAATCAAAAGACATCTTTTAGTTCGAATCGTTCTTTTGAGACGGATCTTTTTAGCGAATCGGAATCGGTTGAACTTTTTTTCACAGTGTGAACGAATCGCTCGAGCTGTTTTGAAACTGATTCTTTGAAAAGTTCCAAGAATCTGAATCGTATAAAGCACGATAGAAATTTGCGTGGGTTCTCTTCGCTCATGAACATGATCCAAGTTATGTGATTAGATCCCGTGGGAAGGTTTACAATGGGACCGAGTTCTTCACGTGATTCCCCTTGAAATCTTAAGGCTTGTTTCGCTTTTGAAATACTAGGCTAATATAAATTCCAAGAATCTGTACGCAAAAGTCGTGAATTATGTTGTCCAAAATGCAAAATAAATCCCAAGAAAGTAAGTCCACCCTAATGTAACATACAGTTTATGTAGATTTTTAAATGCACTATGTATTTCTTGAGGATATCCAGGTAGCCTACTTGCTATCTATCAAACGCATAGTTTGGTTATGAAATCGCATTATCTTTACATGCCACATTTTTTTAATTTAGTGTCACCAGGAGATGAGCCTGTCTGCAGGCAACACCAACAAAACTTTTGGTTCTCTAAATTAAGGACGTTGAAGGTATGTCTGGCCCTTGCATTGTCCTCCATTTGTTCACACTGATTGTGAGAGAGAGAGAGAAAAAAACTTCATGTTGTGTGTGTGCTTTGCCCTTTACAGGTGTAAATCCAAAGTGGCTATTGATTTCTACAGGAATGTGATGAATGAGGCTACAGTGGATTTTTCTCACTATCATGATAAATGCAATTTTCATTCAATAATTGCTAAAAAAAAAAAAAAAAAAAATATAATTTTTAACATTTTTTCCTGCTTACACTCAAAAGAGGCTATTGATTTCTACAGGAATGTGATGAATGAGGCTACAGTGGATTTTTCTCACTATCATGATAAATGAAATTTTCATTCAATAATTGCTAAAAAAAAAAAAAAAAAAAAGTTAATTTTTCACACTTTTTCCTGACTAGACTCATAAGTAAACAAATAGATGTTTAAAATGCATAATAAAATTCCACACTCCCACCTTTTAAAATGACCCAAACTATAACCTACAGCATCTGTACAGGGTCATACAGTGAAATGGCAGATGGATTTTCTAACATGGTCAACAGTGTGACTGCATCTCTTGAAAAAGAGGAGTGTAAAACCCTACTGTACCTTTGTACAGATTTGTTCAACAACATCTGCGTGGAAGATTTAAGAGGAGCTTTGTTGGCATTTGCCAAACAGGCACAAGCTCAAGCAGGTCAAGCTCAGGCTGGTGATGCCCTGCTGATGGAGCTCATGTTCCGAATGAAGCGCTTTGATATCCTAAAGAAAGTTTTTGGTACCAACAGACAACAGGTAGAAGGAATTCTGAAGAAGGGAGCTGTCCTCTCAGATTACAGGTAATTTATGCTAATAGCATATCAGTGTCTACGATATTTTCACAACCCATGTGGTGAAACGAATACTTATGATAATGAAAGGCCTTATTTTAGAGTCTGAAGTTTGTTTTTGGGGTTATTCAAGCACTCTCTTGGGGAAAAACCCAAGCAGAAATACCCGTGAATTTTATTTTCACCCACACAAGTCTGTGTATTTTGAATTGGTCTCTTTTATACAGGATTCTAATGGCAGATGTGAGTGAAAACCTGGGGAATGAGGAGTTACAATCTCTTATATTTCTCCTGAGCAGTACCCTGCCCAAAGAAAGACTGGCTAGAGCTACTGTAAGACAAAAGACCAAAATGTAAAATGTTTCTGTTTCAGATGGGTTTATGTAATGTGCATTTTTATTTCATGTTCGTTTCATTTCATCTGATTTCTCATAGACCTTTCTAGATGTGGTAGTGGAGTTGGAGAAGTTTGATGAAGTATCATGTGATAAGCTAGACCTGCTTGAACAGTGTTTGAGAAACATTAACAGAAAGGATCTTGTCAAAAGGATTCAGGCCTACAAGAATAGAGGTCAGTCGTTTCTGAGATCACTTTTCTTTTGGTTGTTGCTTGAATTGCTTGTCAGTAGGGGAATTACACAGGAGATACATTTTACGCGAAGACTGGGTGCCAAAACAAACATGTCTTACTGTCACAAAGTTTGGCTGGCTGAGTGTTTTTTAACTTTGTAATTTTGCCAAGTGTTTAAAATAGTGTTTTCGAGGTGAGAAGTTGCTGAAACAAAAGTTTGCAAAGTTCATGAGACCATATCTTAGTCAAGAGGGTTCGCAACAATTTCTGGTTGGCGGGCTATTGTTCGATTACGTCGGATTTATAGATTGTATTGCAACTCTGAATTGTTTTAATTGTGATTAAAAACCTGACATTAAACATTAGTGCACCCATGCTTGACATTTGTAGATGCTTTTGTTCACGGCACCAGTTAAGACGCTTGAATGGAAAACATTTCAATCAAATAATTAGTAAATAATTAATAATACATAATTAAATCTAGATAATGAATTTTATAACCATTTCAGGTCAGAATGTACCATGTGCAGTTCCTAAAGTTCAGAAATCCTTTAAGGTAAGACATGCATTTTAAGGAAATACATTTCTGTATTGAATAGATAGATATAGTAGAATACAGTATGTTGCATGATGGGTACATTTTTACTAATTATTGTAAAAATGTTTCTCTCTGTTCCTTCATTTTAGTTCGCCCCTGTGCAACGTCAGCCTTCTGTTCAACAAGTGAAACAAACACTATGCTTTTCTCAAGGTGAGTGTGTATGTGTGTGTGTGTGTGTGTATATGTATATATATATATATATATATATATATATATATAATATATTTGTCTACCTATGAATAACATTTAAGACTTGCACATGGTCTTTTTCTAGAGTTTCAAAATTTGAAGCTTTCAGTACCTGAAACAGGGACACAACATCGACAGGCAAGAAATTAGCATCTTAATTAATACTGTAAATAGTAATCATGGCAAAGTCTATCATCTTTTCTGATGGTTATTTTATTTATGAGTAGGTTATAAGACGTTCCTCCCACTGTCTGTATGTCTGCTAGGCTTTGATGGAGCAGTATGAAATGAATCCTGAGCAGAGGGGTCTGTGTGTGATTATTGACTGTGTTGGCTTGGATGGAGGTAAGTGTGTCATAATGTATCAAAATGAAAGTGTCATGTAGAGTGTGTATTAAGAGTTAAATAACAAACAAGGTCTGTTTTGACCTTGGTTTTGTGGGGGGAAATTGATTTGCAACCACAATGATGTCATAATTTTTGAGAGAAAAAAAACCCTTGATTAAATTTTTAAAAACTCCCATTGTCCACCCCTGACTTTCTAAAGAAAGTCATAATTTTCATCATAGCATTTAGTTTTTTTCCTTTAATTACAAATTGGGATAAAGTATGGTTAATCGAGAACACAATTTGTAGCTCTTTAATGTGCTACAATAAAACATCTGCATCTAAACCTCTATGTTGTGTCTTTTCAGAGATGATGAGTCGGACATTTGATTGTCTGGGTTTCAAGGTAATTTTTCACTCTCTCTTGGGTCTAAAAGAAACCCAGAAGGTCTTGGAAGACCTGACCCGCAACAGGATCCTTCAGGGGGTCAATCGCTTTGTCTGCTGCATCATCAGCAGGGGAACGGACACTCATCTGTTGGCTACGGACTCTAGCAGCCTTGGCATCAGGCTGGAGGATCTCAGGCAGCTTTTCAGCCCAACCCAGTGTCCCTCTCTTTGTGGTAAACCCAAACTCTTCTTCACCCAGATCTACAGGACCACAGAAGTCCCAAATACCCCCTCAATGGATGATGAATACCTTGAGACAGATGCACCAGCATGCCACTATTCTAGGAGGCTATGTTCGAATGCAAGGACTATTCCAGTGTCAGCAGATGTCCTTTGGAGTGTGTGCAGAGCAGAGGCAAAGCTGCTGGAAGGGTCTGGCCACCAGTCGGTTTACCTGCATGCATTAAATTCTGCCTTTCTGAAGGGATGTCAGAGGTATGGGCACTGTTTCTGATAGAAAGTGCTTAATTTAATAGTGGTCAATGCAAATATTTTAAATCATGCAATTTTATGAACAATACATTTTCTTGCAGTAGTACTTTATTCACATAGAAAAGGCTGAACATTGACTTTACAACACTTTAAAGATCTTATTTTTTAGCATTTAGGTATTCATTGACATGAACTAACAGTGAGCAATATGTTTTTACAACGTTTAGTAAACTTATTGTTTGTTAATAAAAATACAGTTGTTCATTGTTCGTTAGTTCACAGTGCATTAACTAATGCTAAATGCATATACAGATAAAATGCATGCATTTTAGTAAATGTTGAAATTTAACTAAGATTAATAAATGCTATAGATGTATAGTTCATTCTTTGTGCATGTTAAAGGTGCTATATACGATTTTTCAACCGAAAAAAACGAAATTGAGATAATTTTGGCTTTTATTTATTATTGCTTGTGACCTGACATTTAACGCTTAAGTAGCTGTAACTTTTTAACGATTTGTATATGCTAAATCGTTTTCAGCTTTTGCAGTTGAGTTCTCAGAAAATAAAAGTCTGTAATTAAAATATCCATATTTATTTATGTATGTTTGTTTGTTTTAATTTGCAGAAAGATGCTTTTATTGGACATCATGGCAGAGGTGAACAGAAACGTGTTTAGTCACAATCAACAAAATCCTGAGAATGAGTACCGCCTTCAACTCTCTCACACACTACGCAAGAAACTTTACTTGTAACACTTAATGTGTGCATCACAACACACTACTTTGTTTTTTTTTCTCTCTTTTTCTTTTCTGTCTCTCTTACACACACACACCCTATACTTGTTTTTTAGAATGGAAATATTGTCCATATAGTGGCTGAATAATCTGAGCATAGCTGAATACTGCTATAATATCTGGTAAAATATTGTGTTTTATGTATTTGTATATTATTATTTATATTTATTTGTGTATCTTCACCTCCTGTGGCAGCTAATACAAAGTTCTCTATTGCAGTCACCGTGCTAGTGCCTCGCTTATTAATTTAAGAATACCTTCAGTCATTAGTGCGGCTAAGTGAAGTTTATTTGTATAGCGCTTTTGAAAATACATACGGTCTCAGTGCAGCTTTCCAAAAAAACGTGACTTAATCCTCCAAAGTTGCAAGGCGAAGATGAATGGTGCAAGGAAAGCAACTCTGTGAGTTGTTTTGGTAAAGAGCAGAATCTTTGGGAGGAACCAGTCCAGACCCCATCCTCCTTGTCATGGCAATTAATTTACACATGCTAAATATCTAGTTACATCGTGCTGTAGTATTAATCGTGTACACTGAATACATTTTTAATATGAGTATCTTGTTCAGTAATCCACTTAAAATCCACTTCTCTTCTATATAAAACTATACACACATCAATAATAAAGCATATACTCATTATAACAAATATATCCTTATTGTCTGATAGTTTTGATGTTCTAGGTACTATATATTATTACCATAGAGTAGACCATAGGCTTTAAAAGTTGATGTGAAGTGATGATTAAATTTGGGATGATCTGATCTGTTTTTAGTAGATATGTAGAATTTTTAGTACATATGTAGAATTTGTAAATTGTAATATATATCAAACCAGATTGTAGCACAACTGTAATGTTAAACTATTTAAACATAGGCCTATATCTAATTGTCATTTAAATAACTTATCATATTCACATAATTAATTTCTTCTCCCTTCAGAGACGTAATTACAAACTGATTACTGGATGCTTTATATTAGCAGATTATAAGATGAATTAACAGAATATGAAAACAGTGACCAGTATGAAAATATCTCTAAAGTGCATTACATGTTGCAGCATGGGATGTGTAGAGAAAGTATTATGAATAAAAATGCTATAAATCTACTTTGCGCTTTGTATTTTTTTCCTTCAATAATTTCATCGCGCTATATTAATGAGTTACCCTTCACCACCTACTTGCATTAAAAACAATAACCTGCAAAAAGAGTGAGTCAACGAATTTTTTGAGTGTATACATTGAAAAGATTCGAATTATTGGGGTGATAAAACGGCGTGCGTTCCGTTCTTTTTGGCATAAATTTGCCGTCATACATTTTCCACTCCACCAGGGGTCGGTAAAACAGTAAATTGTAAGAAAGTGTTAGTAATAGTGACTTGCAATACAGTATATCTTTTTTTCTTGTGGAAGACCAGGTTTTGAATTTTACTTTGTGTGAATATACAAAAAGTTACATTGTAAACAATGTCACTACAAATACAGCAGAATTAGAATTTGTTCAACAATAAGATCTGTTCCCTCTCAGTCGGTCACTCTCGACGTCACGTCGGAGGACCGACGAATTGGGATCTCGCTTAGAGGGACCAATCTACTTCGAGTGTAAACTAAACGAGCCAATGCACATTGGCATGCGATTATTGCATCCAGCTGCTGCTGATCACAGCGTGAGTATAAGTAGGCAGCAGGTGCAGCGCATATTCAGCTTTTCGCTTCGGAGCCGAGCGATCACATCGTTCCGCTCCTGACTACTCTACGGAGAGAAGACTGAACGAGTTCAGCACGCTCTTGGAGAGCTCTTCGTGTTGGAGGACGGCGCTTCAGCGGTGGTGGTTTCCCGTGTCGAGTGGGTTGCACACATCAGGCCGCACTACCCCCTGATTGTGTTGCAAATGAAGTAGATTGGTCCCTCTAAGCGAGATCCCAATTCGTCGGTCCTTCAGGGAACGAGGGTTACATACGTAACCGAGACGTTTTCGCTTCTTGCACAGCCCCATATAGCTCTATTTAGAAATGAAACTTATTTTGGGCTTTACCGTTCTTTCCCAGTTTGTAGAAGTGTAACTACAATTTGAGTTTGAGGTCATTGTGTATGGCCGACAGCTTCTCCATTCTTTGCTTACAGCTGCAGAACACGGCAAAAGAAATGCATTGAGGTTATGAAAGAGTGTATGCATGTATATAAAATATATGTATATATGAGAGCAACAGTGGGAGAAATGTTAAAACTCTCACCTGCTGTCATTAATAACTGTGTTGAGAGCATCGACCAGCGTTTCTGCAGTGATATCATGGATGCTGAGCACCACTCCCACCCCTCGAGTCGCCATGCGGTGCACGTTGTCACCCTGGTCACCAAAGAGGGGAAGCATCACCATGGGCACACCATGACAAATGCCCTCATAGATTCCATGCGTCCCCCCATGAGTGATAAAGGCTTTTGCTTTGGGGTGACCTTTAATAAACAACAAGAATTAAAGTCACATTGCTTTTGAACCAACTACGTGGCTGGCATATACAGCAGATGATGATATGCCAGGGAAAAAAAGGGATCTAAAAGTATGATTGAGAGTATTATTTTTATTTATTTAAACCTGGAAATAGTTTTAGTACTGAATTTTTTTTTTAATTAGAAAAGTTAAAATAAAACAAATATTCTGGGTTAATCAATTAAGTAAACAAGTTCAAAGAAAAATTAAAGTGTCTGTTTTAGGTATGGTACTTTTTTTACTTTTACTCTAAGTGTTGTGGAAATCATATAATTTGTAATGAACAAAGTGTATTTAATTAGCTGCAAGATGCAGTTTACTCAGACCTTTGTATGCCACTTTATAAAGCTTTGATTTGATTTGCTCAGTAGTATCATGTTTTACATTCCCATTTATTGATCCTTGCAGGCAAAAGTGCAGCGCACACACAAAAAAAACGAGATATTCTTCATAAAAAAAAATCAATTGAGACTCGGGAACTTCTCTGATTGGTGGATCTCACTTCAGGGTCCCTATAATAATATACACAAATGCCTTGTCAGACTTGTCATAATTTATTATATTGACCTTCATTTAACACTTCTATGATTCCGTGATTTCAACATTAAATAAAAAGACTGCTAATAAAATGTCTGTGTTTAGGCATTTTCATTATCAGTATAGCTCATATTTAGGCAATCACATTAAGTTTTGACTTAGTATGTTTCTAAGTCAAAACATGTGAGCAGGATATTTTATAATTTCCCCTGTGAGGATGGGCACCCACAGTCAGAAACATAAATCGGCACCCTTCTTGATATTTAAATATAATTTTGCAAGATCTATAGATATTCTGATACCTTAGGGCACCCTTTTCTGTTAAAAATTTCCAGTATTTATATAGCTGACCAGATTACTCATTGGTCAAGCATATGCGCCAATACAACCACAGTTAATAGGATTAGCTAACATTCTGAGTGTGAATGGGCTCTGCTCTCCAGTCATTGCAATCATACCTGACATGCCAGGCAAAATACCGACTGTACTCAGTTTGTTTAACAAAAGCTGCTTCTGTGTTCTTGGTTTAATGATCCATGTTGTTGCTGGAATTTGTGGTTGGCTGATCCTTAACTTGCTACCCAAGGGATAAGCCAAGTGAATCCCTGGATTTCACAATAATAAATTTACTCCCTCACATACTTCTGGTAAGACAAACAGAAATCCCTCATTCTTTAGCACTGAATCTAACTGAAGTGTTTGCTTAACTACAAATAAATCCTATCCTTTTCACAAGAAATAAAGACAGCCCCCCTCAAAATAAATAAATAAAATAAAGCAAAAATATTCATTATAGTAAACTATATATTTATACAAAATATATAATGAAATAAATTATTTACATAGATCTTCATTTAGGTTTCTAGATCTCTGCTTTTTTTACTGATTAATAAAATCAGAACCCTATTTTTTTTGGCAGCATGAAGAATTTTAACATTACATATACAAAGCATTAAATTAGCTAATTAAATGTTGTATGTTATGAGAAAAGTTCTTTAAAGGGATAGAGATAGATCCAAAAATGAAAATTAGCCCATGATTTACTCATGGTGTATATGACGTTCTTCTTTCAGATGAATACAATCGGAGTTATATAAAAAAAATGCACTGGCTTCTCCAAGTTTTATAATGGCAGTAAATAGGTGTAGTTTTACAGTAGTCCAATAGAAGTTCGATAAAGTGCATCCATCCATCATAAAAAGTGCTCCATACTGTTCTGGCGGGTGAATAAAGGGCCTCCTGAAGTGAAACAATGCGTTTTTGTAAGAAAAATATCCAAATTTAAAACTTTATCAATCGCTTACTGTTATACACACGTTACGAGAGAGTGGCGTCCAGCAGATGATGTAGGACATAGGCATAGCATAAGCTCCGGTGAATAGTAATAAATGCAGAAACAGAGGAGAGTGCAAAACAAAACACCAGTCATGAATTAGAAGTACAAAACGAGGATTTGTAAAGAAAAATATCGGAGGATTTCAATACAAGCCAAGAGGAGACTGCTTTTCCTGTACACTTTTTATGATGGATGGATCGGATGCATTTTATTGGACTTCTATTGGACTACTGAATATCAGTAGTCAATTAAAGCTAGGAAGAACCAGGACATTTTTAAATATAACTCTGATTGTATTCATCTGAAAGAAGAAAGTCATATACACTTAAGATGGCTTGAGGGTGAGTAAATCATGGGGTAATTTAAAATTTTGGGTAAACTATCCCTTTAAGCTACTCATTGCATAGCTAAAAAAAAAGAAAAAAAAGAACTAACACCCGAGTGGGCGAGACATGTTGTAATAGCATTTTAAAAAACAGACCAGCAAGCAAACTCACCGAGCAAGTCATTCTGTGGAAGCCACTTCATCAGCTTGACATTTTCTGGGACATCATCAGGAATCTCACCTGTATACCGCCAGAGAACCTAGAAACAGTGACAGTTCAGACAGTTTTTATTCAAAACAAACTACAGCCCAATTAGCCTATTGGCAGTCCTCCTGAAGCTAACCAGGTTACCAGTTTAGACCATTACTTTAGAAGTACCCTTTTTGTGGAATAATTTCTATTCAAGTAGATACTTCTATTTGTGAAATTCTACATTTATTTTTGTTGAGGCTACATATTACTAAAAAATTACTCCATGATTCATGGCAATGTAAGAACTTTAAAAAGAGACTCCGTCTCGGTCTAACAGAAATACTATCCACTCTAGTAATGAGCATTCTGTGGCGTGCCAAACCCCCTTTTCAGCACACACAATAACTTTAATGGGAACAAGATGTTCCTTGACTTCCTCCCCAGCTATAGCTAAAGCTCTGCGTGCAGCCTCCACTTAGTTTTACACTTTAACGTGCTGAGAAAACAAGTGGGTAATGTGGACTCGTGAACCCTACAATCCTTGACTGAGAGACTGAACATCTGGGATGCTGAACAGAATGGTTTCAGGTCACGCAGCACAATGTTTGCACAGAAAATATAGCTCTAAGCCTTGGGTTAGTAAATGTGTGTAGTTCAAAGGATTATTTTACACCTTGTTTGACAACTTAAATTGCACCAGAATAACTTGATTTCTGCCAGTATGTATTTTCTAAAATATATGGCATTCCAACTTAAATTATCTCTTACCCAGGGATTACTACAATAAAAAAAAGGAAAATGAGTGCAAATTATATCCATTCTCTTACTAAAATAATGATGGATGCTCATTCACTATCCAGAATAATTTCTTCCCTATATGAGGTGTTAATGTGTCGCAGCCCCTCCTCCACACTATATATAAAATTGAAATGGGATAAAGAATTAAAGACTGAAATACCAGAAATGGATTGGTACGATATGTGGATAATACACCAGACTACCACTAGCTCACAAATATGGAGGGAGTTTTCCTGAAGTGCCTTATTCGCTTCTTTATAACACTTAAGATCAAAAGCAAACAAGTCTCCAGACAACAGGTTTGCTGGAGACAGTGTGGACAGTTAGAAGCAGATCACGCACATATCTTTTGGATTTGTGAGAAAATCCAATCTTTTTGGGATGATGTGCAGGTAGTTATGTCTGAAGTGCTTGGATATAGAATACCCAGAATCTCTTAATTTTTGCTTATGGGAAATATTAAAAGCATAGTATCTAAAAGCGACCAACATTTATGTAAGATTCTTCTTGTGGCATGTAAAAAGACTATAACTAGGAATTGGTTTAAAGACAGCACTTTGAATTGTAAACAGTGGTTTGAGATTATTGAAGAAATCCCGGTGATGGAAGAACTTAAGTATACATTAAAGATGAAAAAAAGTGCTTTCAGAATGGACTGGGAAAAGTGGTTGATATATAAAGAATATAAAGACATCCTCAGCTAAGTAAACTGTAAATGTTAAAGAAATGGTAACCTCATCTGTTTGGCTTTGTTATGTTTTGTGTGTGGGATTTTTTTCTCTCCCTTTCTCTCCTTAACTAGGGAGTTGGTTCATATGCATATGTATGCATATATATATACATAGGACTACAGCTGTATATGCTGTGTAGCATAAATCTGATATGTATATGTTTAATGTCTCTCCTTATTTTTTTGTCAATATTCCTTAATTTTTTATGTGCATTGTTAATCTTGTATATTAAACTAAATAAAAATAAAAGTAAAAAAAAAAATTATTTCTTACCCTCTGTGGAATCATACTGAAAGCCTTGAAGAAGATGGCAGCTTTCTCTTTTGGCATGGAGGAGACCAGAGAACCCAGACTGAACACCACAATACCATGCTCTCCGGAGCCCTTGACAAATTCCTCCACCTCCTGCAAAAGACAGACAACAAGCCAAAAAATAATAAGCCAAAATTAAATAATGACCTTGTTACATGTATAACTCAACACTGTAAACTAGTTAGGGGTGTAACGGTACACCTATTCGCACCGAAAATTTCCGGTAGGCATCTTTCGGTTCGGTACGCATGTGTTGTTTTAACCACTGCACGAATGGAACTTAATTGGAAACTTCTTGTACCTTTTTTATATATTGTTCATTTTGATAAGAAACAAAGTCTAAACTTGTCTTTTTTTTTTCTTCAGGAAATTCAAACAAAAAATGCCATTTTGACGCTCTTTGATGTGGTGTGACAGATCGCTGTATAAATGCCTAAGTTCAAATGGCAGCATTTCCTCTTTACTACTAGTTTTAGCACGAAATAAACATGAATGAACATCTCATGTCTCATGTAGCGTTTCTCATGTAGTGTGTTCGCTCAATCAGTGTTTCAACCGCGGAAAGATATCAATAATACAGCTTGTAAACAAAATGTCCGTAACATTTCATTTACCTCAGGCATGTCATCAGTGTCCACAGCTGTTAGTTCACTAGAGAAATTAAGTTTAGACAAGAGCATTTCCAGAAATATTATACTCATATTTTACTTTACCTGTTAGTTATATCTTAATTATTTAATGTATGTTTAAATAAATCTGTTATAAAACAAGTTATGACAGCCACTGTGTAAATGAATATAGGCTATTTCCACAACAAAGAGAAATTTTATAATTTAGAAGTTAATTTAAAAACTGCATTATGTGCAATTTACAGGTTTGCATTTTGCATTTTTTAAAGTTGATTGCTCATTATATTTAAAAATAAATAGTAATTGAATTTAAGTTTGGGCTCGGTTCTTTTGTAAAAGGGCTCCCTTTTAGAACATAAGCTGGCGTAGGTTTTTATCTCTAAGAAAATGTTAATTATAACTGAATTTATTTAAAGAAAGAGCAATTTCTTTAGTAAACCACTGTTTAATAAAAAACTAACTGAGGTATGTACCAAACCGTCATGTTTGTGTACCATTATACTCCTATAAACTAGATATGTAGCACAGAAAAAGCAGACATGTTTGCATTATGTACAGTACTCACACAGCTTCATCAGCAAGGCTCATGTTATCCCTTAATCACCACCAACCCTTTTCATCTCACCGGTGTCTTTCCTATATGATATTTCAGAACCTATGCTTTGCACACATCACACAATTACATAGTGTCTGGGGTTTTCGTAGCTCAGGACTCATTATTTTGCCTGTAAAAAGCACCCCTGCCTCAAATATACAAAGAAAAAAAAAAAACTGGTCCTCACGGAAGGAAGGGTGGCTGACAAGGAAAATAACACAGAGGGAAAGAAATGGAGGAGGTTGCGTGCCAAAGAATACAGTGAACACGCTGCGTTGCCTCAGGTTACCAGTGCCCTAGAGAAAGGAGTCATATTACCAAGGGTTATGTTTGTATGAGGGTAAATGTAATGCATGTTAAGACAATGCACCAATGTCAAAGCTCAAAAATGGAACCCATATTTCCAGAACCGACAATGAACCCAACCCAACTTTAAAAAACCAGCCACAGATGTAACATTTCCTTCTGAGGAAAATACATCCTAGGACTAGTAGTCACTGACTACTGAAAATGTTCAAGAACTTCGATTAACAATAAAATTTATAAAACATTAAAAACCTCTGGTGACTTACTGCAGAAAGTGCAGCACTCTTCCGACAGTTGATGCCCCCGATGAGGACCATATTTGGCATGAGAGGCCTGGGGTACTCAAATGTAAAATCATATCTAAGCAACCAAATAGCTCCGCGGCCGATGATCTCCTGGTATGTCACATCCGCATCCAGGTATCTTGAAGCAAGTTCATCAAAACTGGCATACATTATTCGACACAGCACCAGCTCTACACCACTCATGACGAAATTTTGAATGCGCTCTACAAAGGTCATTTTGTCAGTGCTGCCAGACTGAAACCGAGGTACATAAGATGGAGGAGAAGGACACTGTGAAGCCAACATGTCAAGGCCACAAGGAATGCCACGAAGGAAGTAGACTGCGGGGAGACCGAGCGCAGTAGCGATAATAGGTCCACAGGGCAGAAAAGGGTCGGTGAGCACCAAGTCAAAGTTCTCCTCTTTCAGCTTCTGCATCAAAGGTTCGTTGTAAAGCAGCGACTCACATCCTTCCACCTGCGTTCCTGTGAAGTTCAGCAGACGCCCCACTTGGATGACGATGTCCATCAGTGCAGGGCTACGCTTGAACACCCCCTCCTGAAACCCTTTCAAGCTGGTGGACAGCTCCTCCTTGGAGATCTTCACCGGGAAGGTCTCGGTGCGGAAGAGCTCAGAACTCTGGATCAAGATGTTGGTCTCGGGCACCAGGAGCAAGATGTTATGGCCTCTCTGGGCCAGTCCTGTCGCCAACACCTTCATGCTGAGCCAGTGGCTGCCTTCAACAGGCATGACCAGCACCCGGCCACCCTGCGCAGGCCTCAGCCAGGCACTCAGCCAGAGCAGCAGCAACCCTGAACCCAGCCCCCACAGCCAGCCTTCCTTCAGCATATCTGGGTCTGCCTAAGACCAGACACAAACACTGAAAGAAAAGGAGAGGAGAAAACTCCTCCTCCAGGAAAAGGGGCTGTGTTTACACTCTCCCATGTGTGACTGAGAAATAAGAGAGCGAAAGGAAGAACAAGAGAGCACGACAGTTGTCCGTGTTTTGGTTTGCAGATCACGAGAAAAACATTTCCTGAAAGGCAAATAAGTGCTCTGCAGGGCCAGCACAATGTTACACAACACTACATATTAAGTAAAATTTTTAACAAGAAAAACTCTACTCATTACAGTCATAAATTACATTTTAAGTAGTGTTTTACAAATCTGTGAGACTTAAATACAAAATTAAAAGCAGAAGCCCTAGGTTGTACATATCCAAATACACCACAGTTTCTTGGCAGAGATAACCATGGATTTAGTTTTTAGCACCTGACACAGATTCTAAGTAAAGAACGAGCACTCAAAGATTAATTTACAACCAGCTGTATGAACTCAAATGCATATGAAAGGAAGAACTGTAACTGTTGTCAGGTCTGCAAAAGGCAACTCCCACCAGCACCTTCCCCCACTCCTCAAACCCAGCTTGCGTGAGAAGCTCGCCACTCCTTTCCTTCCCATCTCCCCAGTTCAAGCGATAACCCGACCAACAATACTTCCCCACATGCTTTCTAAATTGCATTTCACAACATTGATACCCACATAGCATACTTTGCCAATAAAGGGAAATTATCTGTATATGTGTTGTGATAAAAACAATAGGAGTGAGATTTACTGTGGTATAGTTCTCTCACGGTCTCTTATTTCTTACTGTTAATCCTTTGGCTGGTTTTATTTAAACTACTGATCATTAGGTTTTCTTCAAACAGCTGTAGCAACAAAGTTCTTAAACAAATAAATCCTCAAATACTTCCAGTACTAATTATTATTATTACTACTACTACATTAGGGGATTCCTGAGTTGGGGGACCCACCACCCCTTTTCTATTAGTCAGTTACAGTTCCACTTGTTGGTACTTGCTTTCTATAAAACTTTGCAAGAATGAAACTGTCCTTTTTTTACCTTGTCCAAGTACTGGTGTAATATTTTAAACACTTAATATCTGCACAAATGACACAAACAACAATCTAAAAAGTGAAAAAGTAAAAATCCAAAAAGAGTGCCAAACTTCAACAATGTATCCAGTAAGATTCACTGGCCACATGCAAACATGCAAACTCTTATAATATGTCTCCCTTGTAATGATCCCCCACCCAGCTATGCTGTGGGAATACTACACTAACAACTGAACTGCTGTTTATCTCTTTAGGACTGGGACTGCAAATAAGAGAGTACAGTGACACCTGTTGTAATTTTATGAAACAAAAACATTCTCAAATAAAGAAAATATATATGTGAGGAAAAATGGTAAGCACCAGAATACCACTTGGTGTGCTGTGTTGTACTACAAAGAATAATTAAACAAAACAAACAGAGTATTAGTGAAGGGGTCAAACAAAGAAAAACCTGTTTTACCAAAAGAGCACCTAATAATCATGCAGCTCTAGTCTACTGTATGTATGTGCATATATGCATTTGTCCCTGGAACACCAGAGAATAAATATAGTAATACAGTATATAACTGCTGCAAATCATTACATAGTTTACTTATCAGCTATTGTGGGTGAAGGGCAATCTTGATTTAACCCATAGCCTACTATTAAAATACGCTTTGTCACCGAAATATTGTTTACAACACAGACATGGTCTACTTTGCTATCTTGGTTGCTGTACCCGTTCAAACATTGTTGTGTGTTCAGCTATGGTAAGTTTAAAATTAACATAGTTTAAAGTTAACATTTAGAACTTAAATTTTCATTGACCTGTCTGTGTGGCAAAAAAGGACATATTTTATGCCTTTTGCAAATGAGTCACTCTCCTTCTCTGCTTTTAACACTTTTTTGTGACTATTCTCAAATATGAACAACAATTAGAAAGAGAAAAAAGGTAAGCACTTTAACTAAGATGAAGATGAAGACCCTGACAATGAATTACTTGGGTGATCCAAAATCCCACTCGTATTTTGCCTTCTTTTAACTGCCTGCAATCCTGGGTCCTTTGTCACCCTTTCCAGCCTGGATGTATCAGCAAAGTGTCTTTTGCATTAGTTTTACATAGTTTAATCACACAATGTGACTGACATTTTGTGAATATTCTATATTCTAACACACTTATGACATTGACCAATTCGTTATATGATTTAGAATTTCACTAGTCTCACCTTTTTCAGTGGGTTCCTAATTTCACAGTTAATTCCTCCTATGAGCTGCATGTTGGGCATCAGGCGTTTGGGAAACAATTTAATGTCACAAAGGGCTTTAGATAACACTGACCAAATTTGGTGTTGATCTATGTAAATCTCTAGGAGGAGTTTGGGTTACACTTTACTTGAAGGGGTGTGCATAAGACTGACATGACACCTTCATAATCATAACATGACACATGTCATGAATATGAAGGTTTTTTTATGCATGCTTATGACAACTGTCATTAAGTGTCATTCGCTCAGTTATGTAATCTTTAATGCAAACATGACATTGAGATGTCTTTGTTATGGGCTATGGTTAGGGGTAGGGTTAGTTTAGGGTTAGGTCAAATAATGTCATATTTGCATTAAAAATTACATAACTGAGCGAATGACACTTAATGACAGTTGTCATAAACATGCATAAAACCTCCTTCATATTCATGACATGTGTATGTGTATCTTCAAGTAAAGTGTTACCGGAGTTTGTTTAAATACAACGCCTGAAAATGGCAAAAACAGCACAAAACTTGCAGAGAAATGTACAGACTTCTTGTTGGGTTTCGGAATTCATACCAGGGGGACTTTTTTGTAGGTATTGATGTGTTGCATGTGTCTACCCCATTTTGTACACATATGTGAAGCTTGAGAGGCACTTCGTTTAAATTTTAAAGGTGGTGCTATCGAGCCATTTTGTCACACCCACTTCTGAAACCCATATCAGATGTACATTTTCACCAATTCTGGCATGCGTGCAGAGTTTCGAGATTTCAAGCATGTTTAGGCCCTCAGAAATGCGATTCATTTTGGAGAAGAAGAAGAAGAATCGGAGCAATTCCAATAGGGTCCTTGCACCACCGGTGCTCGGGCCCTAACTAAGGTTAGTGTAGCAAGATCTTGGTTAATTTGTGGTTACCATGGTTTAACTATAGTAACCATGGTTTTTTGGTTTTATTTGTAGCAAAACCATGGTTAATTTTCGTAAGGGTGTCGCTAACATTAACACTAAATCCTAAAATCAGACTGGCTGTCAGGAATGTTGTTTCTAGGATTAACAAGAATGTTGCTACAAAATTAGGTTCACCCGAAATGACCCTGAAGGGGTCAGAAGATTTGGCGCAAAATCCTGCAGTTTGACTTCTCCTACGACAAACATCAAATTGTCTTCGGTTTTCAAGACAAGCCATGATCAGTATTAATGCTAGATTTCTTCTAATATCCATAAACCCTGGTGATCCTGGCCACCACTCACGGAATTCCTATGAGATGTTGGCTTTGCTATGATAAACACCGGTTGCGTCGCTGCTTTGATGTGGGTGTGTGCTGTTTACACTGCTTACATCTTCTTAAACGCGCCAGTATTGTTGCCGTTCATAGACTTTTAGCCAACATTTCAGCCCTGCGTGCAATGCAGCTCACAGTCACTGAACGTGTATGGGTTGATCATGTAAACATGTTTTCAAGTGCACACCCATTTTTAACACGTCTTGATGTGTACAGTCTGACATTAATGACAACGGAGATCCCACAGTGTGACATGATCATCATGTTCGTACAGTCTGACAACCAACAATTGTAAAGGACTATTATAAATCATGCAGTGTGCACCTAGATTTAGTTTAATCTCACAATAGGAGTCCTGAGAGTCACCACTTTGCATTCTAAAACCTTTATCATTGCCTGAAAAGTTGACCTTTTCATCATCTCATCAATCTATTTTGAGTCATGTAGCATATACAGATTTATTGTAGATATCTAGTAAACTTGATACTCCGTGCCTTGAGTATCATGTGGTGAGTATAAAGATGATGCTAACCTTATTCAGTGGGTTACTAATTTCACAGTTAATTCCTCCTATGAGCTGCATGTTGGGCATCAGGGGTTTGGGGAACTCCAGACTGAAATCATAGCGCATCAACCATACAGCTCCAGTGCTCAGGATCTCAATCAGGCTCACATCTCTCTGAAGGAAGTTGAACGTAATTTCCTTAAATGGCCAAAATGTAACCTTGCATATCAGTGGTTCCAGCATGCTGACAAAAACGTTCACCACACGCTCACCAAAAGACGGTCTGAGTTTTGAGTATAGAACCGTGGGACATATGAAGGAGGGTCAGGACAGGCTGTGGCTGCAGTATCAAGGCCGCACAGCATTCCCCTTAACATGTACATTGCCGGTACGGATAGATTATACGCCAGTATGGCTCCCACTGGTAGGGCAGGATCAGTTAAAACAGCATCAAATTTTGCTCTCTCAGAAAATCTATAAGCTCCTGGTTACTGAACAAATTTTCAGTTGTAGAGGTCACACAGTTAATAATCTCTCAAATGGGCCACCATTGAAGTCACACTCTTCAGTAGGGATTGCTCTGGCTCACGAATATGTTCCACAATCATTTGGTCGATTAAATCCTGCCCATATGTGCCGGGAAACGTCTTTGTGATGTAATGTTTGCCTGGACCCAAGCGCATGCTGATCTCTGGAATCACCACAATCACGGTGTGTCCTCTACGTCCCATCTCTTCTGCCACAGCCTTCACCCCTGTCCAGTGACTTCCATCCATGGGCACCACTAACAGCTTCCCAGTCCAACTGCTCCTACCCTGCTCCAGAGCTGCAGAACAGACTATACTGATCACTAGACATAATATTACTCCTAAGTGCATCTTTGTAGCAAAACCAGACTTCAAAAAAATCTGGCGATGTGATTACCTCTGTATGTCT